GTTCAATCGCTTGGTATCAAAATTCCACCCGAACGTATGGCATTTATTCCAGTGCTTTCGCACTGAAGAAGTTTCTGTTCGTCAAGCTATACTGAAGCTGAGTATGGGAGAGAAGAAACAAACCAACAAGAAAACCGCTGATTTTCAACAGCGACTTAATGTACTTCAATCTCAATTTGATGACAAAGTGATAACAGTTGACGAGCTTTTCGAAGGACTAACACTATTGGCCCCAACGAAAACTTAATTTTTTTCTATTTCATATCAAAAGGTGTATTTTATTCACAAATTGTAAGTAAATCTTTTAAGTAAAATAAACTGTTACTTCACTAAAAAAGTGCTCTTATGATCAGTAAAAAGTTTTATGGCTTTCACAATTTTTTCGATATTTCTCTTTTTCGATTTTTGCGCTTTCGAGATTGAAAATTTTCAACTATGAAGAGAATTCGAGATTTCAGTTTATCGAGATTTCGTTTTTCCGAGATTATTTTTTCGAGATTTCTTTTTCTAGATTAGTTCATCATACCAGATGAGCATACGAAGCCTCGATCTATGCATCATTTCTAGTAGTTAAAACCCTAAAGATGGTTGAGAAGGATGTAGTGTAGATTTCTGGTATCACGGCGTCCGACCAAATTCACTGAGAATCCTCACATCTCGGATGATATAGTTTTGGTATCGGATAACGAGATCAGTTGACGAAGCTAATTTGGGTTATCCGGCGGAGTATCGAGACGTTTCACTCTGAATACTAGAGAACGTCGAGTCCAAGAATTTTGGACTCAGATCTGGTTCTGAACTTAAATAACAGTCAAGTTTGAAATACATCTTGTATGAGTTGACATATATGGTTAGATGTTTAGTTTACATTTACGAAGTCTTAGTTTTTGTTCTTTTCTTTGAATTAATGAATTAAAGATAGTCTGAGAAGAAGGAAAAATGAAAATTAAAAAAAGTTACATATATAAAACTTGGCTCTATTGGATACCCAACGTAATGATATTATGACAGCTATGGCTGTTTTCTAAAATAGGGAAGAATTTAGAGTTGTAGCAAAATATTGTTTTGCAGCGGATATATTAGTAGTTACTTATGTAATGGTGATTTTTATTCCTGATCGAGAAGATTAAGGTAGGCTCATCTTAGTTATATTCGTAGAACTATTGCATAAAAGCAATTCATTTCCAAGTATTATTCAAGATCTATCAATAGGATTTAAGGATTCTTATTAATCAGTCTCACTTTCCCATTGCAAAATCATCTTAAAGGGAAAACTTTGTTTTTATAAGAGGGGTTTTTTCATTTTCGTATATAATTTGAAAGTTCAATTGCAAACCTGTTAGCATCATCGTTCGATGACACTAATTATCCTATATGTTGTTTCTTGTTCTTCCCTTTCTTTTCGATTCGTTTATCTTTATAGATATCTTTTCATTGGCACAGCTTTTCTATATCATAAAAAACATGAGCTAAGTTATGTGTTTTTCTTCTTATTTGTTGTAGATTTTGAAAGTTAATAAAAATAAATTAAGTAGTGTAG